TTTTTGGGAACGGAATTAATTAGTTTTCACTTAGAAAAAAATCATTTATTTTCCGGAAAGTCCTAATTCCGACTCAACTCGTCAGATATACACCCCTAGATGTGGCCGGAAGATGAAACAATGGATGAGATTCCCTAAGTCGATTTTCGGTTGTCCCAAAGAACAGTAATAAAGAATTTCTACTTATGTTTGCTAATATGAGAAAAAAAATGTCTCCACGAGTTGATCTTTTATTGGATGATATACAAATTTACTCGTTGAAGTGTATACGACTTTCCTCTTTTACCTCCACGTAATATTTTTCATTGCAGTTCCTCTTCGACCTTTTGGTTAAAATTTCGGATTATAAATTTCAAATTTAATGCTTCATTTTTTTTATTTGGAGACGACTTAAAAATCTAAAGGCCTTCTCTTGGGTTTGTCTCGTACAGATTCCGGGAAACACAGGATGCACCGCTCGCACTTGTGCTGCGACAAATGTCAAATTGCACTTAGTTGAGGTTATTATTTTCTAACGGCTTTTATCATTGATATTTTCCTAGAACACAACCATAAAGTAAAAAAAAAAAAAAGTCACTTTGTTTTTTACCTCTTACTCTCGTTTCTTGCTTCAGCCATTAGGGTTCCAGATTGACGATGCAAAGGTAAAGCGAGCTGGACTCGATTACTGGCCGTATCCTTTGACTAAGTTCTTTTGATGTTTAAAAACTTAAATTCAGCACTTCCAAAATAAAGTTATAGATACGATTAAATTGCTCGATAATAAGATTGTTGCGCAAAATGAATTTGTGTACTCTCATCAGTTTAGCCCAAAGTTAATTATTCGTGAGCATTTGTGGTAATTAATTCCTTAAAATTAGATATGTGGTTGTAAAAGTGCATAGTTCATGGTCAGAGTTTCGAGAATACTTCAAGAAACAGGTTCGATATTTTTTATTTGTCTTTAATTATATAACGAAAGAGTATCTATCATTCGTTCATTCATTACGTTTATAGGATGGTGAACAGAGGTTATTAGCATTTACAAAGAGAGGGACACATACCCATTCAGTAAGTTTTTTTTATTCCCTTATTCATACAGTTTAGAGTAAATTATTTATATATGGCTCAATAAGTTAATTGATTAAAATTAGAATTAAAAGCTACATCGTTTTAAATCAAATATTTAATTAAAAAAATGTCGAATTAAAAATTATTCCAAACCTTCAAAGTTGATACAATATATGAGTAAATGCCCTAATTGTAGTGTCAATCACATTTTTACGTAATTAACCATGATTAATACGTGTATTTGCGTGTAGTGTATATGGTTTTAGTAACTTACTAATAAATTGCTTAATAGTTTAATTGATTAAAAATTAGCGTTAAAAGCTACATCGCTATAAAGCAAATATTTGATAAAAAAATCTAGAGATACATATTATTCGAAACCTAAAAAATAAGGTTGACACGATCATATGATTAATTGTGGCGTGGATCGCATTTTACGTAGTTAACCATGGTTAATAAATATATTAATTGTGCAGGAATTTACGTATAGGAAGGGCGATTGGCTTGTATTCGGCTCGGAAACTAGTGGATTACCGCCCGATGCACTGCTCGACTGTGAGAGCAAATCGCTAGGTGGCGGTACGATTCGAATTCCAATGGTTGAAACATACGTTAGGTGTCTGAATCTATCTGTGAGCGTCGGCATTGCTTTGTACGAAGCTTCTAGACAGCTCAACTACGAGCAGCTTCTAGAAGACTCGTCTGAACCTTGTATCGATAGTGAGGCATCTTTTTTAACTGAAGACATTTTTGCCTGAGTCAGTTAGTTTTTTTATTTGTACCCAAAAAAAAAAGGGAATATTCTTTATTTTATTTATTACATGTTTGAGTACACCTGAAAATTTTGCAGAAAATCTGGTTTCTATGTTGACAATTATTTTCTCAGTTGGCTTCAACAAGAAGCAAACACACCTCACAATTTTCTTACATCAATCCAAAATAAATAATTAATTCATTAAATAAATATCTCTGATTCTGGAAAATATACTTACAATCCAATTTTATAATTGTAGCATAGGTTGGCCAAATTCAATAACTTTCCGGAGACTCCATTTATTATTTATTTATTTATTTTGTAGTGCATTTTTTATTATTAATAAAATAGTATTAATATGAGGTAAATTTGGTTTCATTACCACTTATATAACGTTGTAAAACTGCATTGCCTTAGCTTCTCAATATATATATATGATGAGGCTGACCGGAGATTTCCTGGCCACCGCTCTAACGCTGCTGCTCACCGTCACTTCAGCTGTTCATGCCTGCCCGCCCTCAGATCGGGCAGCCCTTCTATCATTCAAAGCTGCCCTAAACGAGCCACACTTGGGCATTTTCGCCACGTGGTCAGGCACCAACTGCTGCACTAACTGGTACGGTATAACATGCGACCCGGAAACCAAACGGGTCGCTGACATCATCCTCCGGGGCGAATCCGAGGACCCAATATTCCAGAAGACGGGCCGGACCGGCCACATGACCGGTTCAATTTCCCCCTCGCTCTGCCGCCTCGACCGCCTCACCACACTCATAATCGCCGACTGGAAATCCATCTCCGGTGAAATTCCGACGTGCATCGCCTCCCTCCCGCGCTTAAGAATCCTCGACCTAGTCGGAAACAAAATCTCCGGCGCAATTCCGGCGAGTATCGGGAATTTGAGCCGGCTCACAGTGCTCAACGTCGCCGACAACCGAATCTCCGGCGAGATTCCGGCCTCTATTGTTGATCTAAAAAGCTTAATGCATTTGGAGCTCGCGAATAATAAATTATGCGGAGAAATCCCATTTAATATTGGGAAATTGTCTATGATGAGCCGGGCTTTACTGAGTCGGAACCAACTCACCGGGTCAATTCCGAGTTCTCTTGCCAATCTTCATAGACTGGCCGATTTAGACTTATCAATGAACCGGTTGACCGGGTCAATCCCGTTTCAACTCGGGTCGATTCCGATTCTCTCAACTCTAAATCTTGATAGTAATCGGTTATCGGGCAAGATACCTACTATTCTACTTAGTAACACGGGATTGAGCATATTGAATTTGAGTAGAAATTCTTTGGAAGGTAATATTCCTAATGTTTTCGGACCGAAAACTTATTTAATTGCGCTCGACTTATCGTATAATAATTTGAATGGTTCGATTCCGAAATCGTTGTCTTCGGCTAAGTATGTGGGGCACTTGGATGTGAGCCATAACCATCTTTGCGGTGCGATTCCGAAGGGAACACCGTTCGATCGTTTTGAGGCCTCGTCGTTTTGCGACAATGATTGCTTATGTGGGATGCCTTTGCCTACTTGTTAACGGTTTTATTTTCTATTTATTGTAATGGTGATAGTTAAAGTTGCATATCTTTTTATTAATTTGAAAGATTGCACCTGGAAAATGTACCATGGCTTTTGAAGTATTTATGTATGTGGAAAAATTATGATTATAGATCTATATACACACTGACTGATTTATAACTATTGATGTAGGCACAAATACATATAGGTGTGTGATTATGTGCAGGTCAACTCTTAATAATCATCTAGTGTAGCATCAAATAAATTGTAAAAACTAAAAGCACATTAAATCACCAAGACAATTAACAGAAAAATCAGAATTTCAAAACCAACAAGAAACGCAAATCAAAACAAGATCCAAACGACACATAAAACGCTAGGTGAATTCAAATTCGATATATCCGTCTAAAAAAACGAGTAGAAGTAGAACTGCATTAAAAACTCAACTCCCTCAAACAAACTTTTTTCTCTAAAACATAGGTCAAAAGCAAAATTCGAAAAAAAGTAAATTTTAAGAAATTAAAGAAAATATTCATTCTTCCTCGTCAATAACTTGGGTGCCCAATCCCTTCAACCCACCCTCGGGAATTTCTGCAACGGTGACCAATGAGTAGAGCTCCTCTTTAGCATCTTCATCATCGTTTCTCTTTCGCGCAATTCGGACACGGATTCTTCGAGGCACACTTCGAATACCGCGGCTCCAAATGTGTTTGTTCAACTTCACATCGACTCTTACGTCAGTAGTTCCCATTGCTTTCGTGGCAAACTTTCTTATTTCTTTGATAGCATTTGGAGCCTTCTTCTTGAAAGTACTGTCGGAAAAAAAACATTATTTAGTCAACTTTCCAAGAGCATATTTGCAGCATCAAATGGCACAATCGGACAAGGTATATGAAAAAAAAAAAGTTTATTTACGAAGAAAAATGCAAACTTGCATAAGAATCGTATTATTGCCCCAATTTCATACACATAAATAAAAACAAAAATCAGGGAAGATTGTTTGAGAGGAAAAAAACGAAGACAAATGAAGATACAATTACTGCCCCAATTCACAAAAAAATCGTTTTATTACCCGATTTTTTTCATGAAATGCAGTACATCTAACAATTAATACACATAAAATTCAAAAAAAAAAAAGACCAATGAACAAAGGCCTCCAATGGTTCCTGAAGACTGATAATCGGAGATTCACAAAAGCGAGAACATCATTTTACCCAACATCAAAGTACAACAATTACAGTATTCTGAAAGAAAATTTCTAATTTACCCAAAATCAACATAAAACATTAAAAAAATTGAATCAAATGAAGCATTAAAAAATTAGATGCCTTTCAGACATCTTCGACATACAAAAATGGTGAAAATATCACACTGAACAAAGAAAAATCATGCACTGACCAATTTGATTCATCAAACCCTAATTGCAGCAGTACAAAAATGAAAAAAAAAATTTATCAAGCAAACTAATGAAGATCTAAATTATCCTCGCAGTCACGAACATAAGACATAAATACGCATTTCTCTCTCTACATGTATATATTTTAGAGAGAGAAAGAATAGTACCATCCATGGAGGCGCTTGTGAAGGTTGATTGTGTACTCCCTAGAAACAACCTCCTCTTTCCTCGCCTTGCTACCCTTCTCCACCATTGTTGCTTCCGCCGCCGCCGCTTCTGCTATCAAATGCACCGCCGAGTTTTCAGATTAATAGAAACCCTAGAACCGGCGAGGTTTATATATTTGATTGAACCCCTGATTTTTATTTGGGTTCCCGGCCCAACTCATGGGCCCGAAAAGGCCTTTTGATATGGTCCAAATCCACAGTCCATTTCTTTTTTTATTTTTTATTTTTATATTTATTTTTATTTTTTTGCATGAAAGCAACATAAAGGTTAGAAGAGGAATTGTATTTATGTTTTCGATAGAAACTGTCGATTGAGTCGAGTCTAACGAAGTTCGATGATTCCGGTTCGATTATATGTGAGTCCAGTCTAATTAAAATTAATTCTGAGATGGCTGAGTTTGTGCTTTTTTTTGTACTAGTATTTCACCCGTGCGTTGCACCAAGGTGAGTCTCCAAATAAGAAAAATAAATTTATGTAAACGACTATTTCTTTATAACAATACCAATTCAAGTAAAACAAAATGGAAGGAAATAAAAAACATAAACTGTATCTCTTAATTTAGAGTTGTAACATATGAAATTAAGTTAAATATTACATATAAGAAAATATGAGGCGCGCAAAACACGATATCAAGATTAAGTGAAATCATTTAAAACATATGGTATAACTCTATTTCTTGGATTGCAATCTACTACACCATGTTAGTCTTCTACAAAATAACTAAGGTAACAACAAACACGGTAGCAGAGAAGTAAAACAATAGATATTCAAATAACCTGCAAGTTTATCACTAATGGCGTTCAATTAGTGATGCACATTACTCAAACAACAATAAAACTTGTAAATATTGCAAAAGAGATATGATGTATACGCCACTACCAGTATTGATACCAATGTTAATATCAATAACGATACCAATACTAATACAAATATTGTTACCAAAGTGATACTGATTCGATTAATACTGGTACTCATACTAATACTAATACTAATACTAATATTAATACTAATATTAATACTACTATTAATACTAATAGTGATACTAATATTGATATTGTTACTAATACTGGTACTGGTACTAATACTAATACTAATACTAATACTAATACTAATACTAATACTAATACTAATACTAATACTAATACTAATACTAATACTAATACTAATAGTGATAGTAATACTAATACTAATGTTAATACTAATAGTGATAGTAATACTAATATTGGTACTAATACTGGTACTAATACTAATACTAATACTAATACTAATACTAATACCAATACTAATACATATACTAATAAAAATATTAATACTAATACTGATACTAATACTAATACTCATACTCGTACCAATACTAATACTACTATTCATATTGATACTAATACTAATAATAATATTGATACTTACATTGATAATTATAGTTATATTGATACTAAAACTAATATTATATTATACTATATTAATACTAATACTGATACTAATAATATATATAATATACTGATACTAATACTAATACTCATACCATACTCATACCAATACTAATACTAATACTAATAATAATACTAATAATAATACTAATATTCATATTGATACTAATACTAATACTAAGAATAATACTAATATTGATACTAATACTGATAATAATACTGAT